AACGCAGTTACGTTTTGAATATTTGGACAAGGTCACCAAACAAGGACATGCATGCCCTTAGAGACTGCTATTTTCAAGGACAAAAGCAAGAGAAACGTTGGCATAAAAAGTCTTTACGTGACTGAAGTCGTCGGACACACGTATGTTGTGACCAAGGGGTGTTTTCTCTCACTGGTTTCGTGATACTAACCAGAAATTACATGTGGAAGCCAGGTAAAATTCAAAAATCAATACTGCCTAGAAGAGCAGGCGACGATACTCTTGTCAGTGAATTATGCATCCAAGTTGATGCCGGGCTATTTGACCCGCGTTTCTGGATGTTTCGAAGGCTGCTCTGACAGAGCTTGTTTCTACACGCAAATCAAGGTGACCTTAAGTGCGTGATTATGCGTACATCGAGTTTCTTTGGTTATCGTTATTTTGTTGGCACCCTCACGATTCGCTGTGGTCCGAATACCTCGTATTTGATCGCCTCGTTACACGGATCTGATTGGTTCACAAGCCCCGCTACGGTGTGGCCTGTCTTTGTCCAATTCGATACTTGCTATTTTTAACGGTTTTCCTCCCGCGTTTTGATTGGTCGTTCCCAATTCAGGTTGCTTCGTAGTTTGATTCCATTAAGCTTGGTTGGCTAGATGCGCGTCCCTGTCTTCCGTTCCTCCTTAGTAGCTATTGAACATGTAAGCTAGTTCTTCGAAGGTACGAATAAATATCAAACGGCATTTTAGAATGCTCCGAAGAGCAATAAGAGTCAAAACAAACTGAGTATGGAATTGGCTGTTTTAACAGAAAGCATGTCATGAGTGAACATTAAGTACAATTCGGAAAACCATTGATTGAAAACCATTTGGTTAGTGTTAACAATTCACCACCCGTTTTTGATTGCTTGATCCAAAAAGGACGCCAGGTCTCGCCACTATTATCCAGACTTTCCATATATAGGGTTCAGGCAATTACCAAGAACCAACCAACCTCATAATCAAATAAAGCAGTCACCCCCCAACAAGAAAATTTTACTCTGGTTCCGCATGATTCGTCCAGAACTCTAAACAAGTACTAGGCTGAGTGTATCTGATAGACAACGTCACCTCCGAACAAGGGGCAGAATACAAATTTTGCGCTCAGGATTTTTCGACAGCAAGCCATCACGTGACAAAACCTAGGGTATGTAGGTCGGACTTCCACGTGATTGAGGCTCCTAGGCATGGTTTTCAACTAAGTGAGCCACAAATATTACAACAAGTTCTCCAAACTAGACCTCAACAAAAGCAGCTTGCCGCATGCTGATATCACATTGGATTTCTATTTCATTCAGGACTGATTAGAAGAACCACTGATTCTCCTGATAAGCCAGTGAAATGTAGTAACCTGATACGATGCATATCAACGAATTGTCAAACGTGACATAGTAGTCTTCTGGTAACGACGAATTTCACGCAGTCCGACAGCGCCGGGCCTGTACCCATGAGGCTTCCTCACACCACGCCGGCGCGCTCTTGCGAGCGGCCTTTGTGGCGAGCTGCCTCCTCGGGGCCTCGTCACCAGTGGACTTCCAGGGAATTTGCTTAGTGCAAGCCACCTAGAGATTTTCACACGGTGACGAACTGGTCCGACAGCAACTGGTGGTGTGACACTCCGTCCAGCCCCGGGAAAGTGCGATCCGGCAACTGCTGCAGGCTGGCGAAGAACACGGTCGGGCCAAATCCAGGCGCCATCCTGGCCGTCTTCAACCGCCTCCTGGTGATCGGCCGGCGTGTCGAACTCCGCTGCAAGAACTTCCTTCGCGGCGGCCCAGTCCACCTTCCGAGAGCCTCTTCTGGCCACATCCAGGGCCGTCTTCCCCCGACCCCTGAGGAGGGTCTTCAGCGCCGCCAACTTACCCCAGTCGGTCTCCAATCCGGCAGCCTCCGCAATCTCCTCAAAGTCCTCCAGAAAGATCCGCACATAACCATCCTCAAAGGGTTGCGGCCACGGGATCTTCATCCTTATCCTGATCACGGCACCAGATGAAAGGAAGAAGGCCTTCGCTGCGGAGTTATTTATTAGAAAACGCCAACTGAACAGTTACAGACCATTGGACAGGGAAGCAAAACTCTCATATGGATCTTATTTACTAAAACTGGACATCCATCTTCTCCTGAACGCGTCTTCTTGAACTTTCCTGGATATTCATTGACTCCAATCGTCCAAGCACATTTTACAAAGCGGCTCCACAAATCCCGCAACTGATCCCCCCTCTTCAAGAGACGCAAATCGAAACTCCAAGAACAACACATACTACTCACATGCCTCCCCATCAGTAGCACCACCGTTACAGTAGTATTGTTGGAAGTTGGCCTATGTAGTAGTATTCACGGACCAGCAATTTGCAAAACGTTTCACCCCACCATCCCCGATTTTATACGAGGTACGCGAGATGTAGATCCTGAAAGTATGTTTACGAAACGGTAATTTTACACACTGACATCCACATGGGATGCTACCCCCGAAAAAGGGACGATATAGTGTGCGATCTCTCAGAGTAGACATCACTCTTTAGCAAAGTTCATTGCGTGGTCTTGAAACGTTGTACACATATCAATTACACGGACTGAGGCTGGTTATACCAATCAGTAGGTAAGGACAGTTCAGCTATCGGGAGATCGACCCGTAATGACTCTCAAAACGTGTAGCAGCCGATGTTTATACAGGCCGCTACGTACGAATCTAGATAGCACCTCACGTTTGGAATAATGCGGTCCACATCTTCAAAGAGTTACCGGGATGATGGTCACCCTCTGAAGAGCAATCAGGTCCGTACATGATGAACATTTTCCGAGTGATATGAGGACTCTTTCATGTTCATTTCTCTTGTACGCACACAACCTTGGCCTGTTTTTGAGGGAAACAATTCTTTTTCCGCATCTAGGCTCATTTTGTGCAAAAATTTTCTCAATTCGGACGCAAAACCTTGAATAAACTTTCCAACGCTTTCAACTCTCGTTCATGACAAGGAAACGGCAATACGTTTTTTGCAACGCCACGGAGTGATCCATCCGCAACGTTTATGTAACGTTTAGGACAGCAATTCTATTCATTTATTGCTGGTCCAAAGATTTGGCAAAAATCGAATTCCGCTCAGAGGAATTATCTATTAGCAACACGACCGCGGTTGACTGGAAGAACTTTCTTCGCGAAGTTTGCACCTGGCGGCTTTTCCAGATTCCAACAGTTATCGGCGGCCCAGATCTACACGTCGAGAACGGTGAAATGTCTACAAGATGCAGAATAAACGCCAATGCGGCACACACCGACCTCTAGTGGAGAGCTACTTGTATGAGTTCGTTCGAAAAACGGAACTTTTCATGCAAATTATTAATGACATGTGCCAATTTCACCCTCTTCAATAAAAAATAAAGGTAAAAATTTCATATCCTCTTTTTTCTAATCTTTTCTAGGTGGCGGGGGCTAATTTGGCGGGGCTTATCTGGGAAAGATCCTTATATGGCGTCCTTGCTCCTGAATATACCTTCTGTTGTCAATCCACTAGTGTTGTACAACGCTGTCCTCTCAAATGGCAACGGAGTCATCGAGCAAAGTTCACCCATGTCAGAAGCATACTAATTTACGTAGAACACAAAGATTAATCCGCCTCTTTTTTCCTACCCGTGTCTTCAGGTGAGGCGATCACATATTCGCGGCTGCCCAAAAGTATTCTACAGCTTACAGGAGCAGAATTATGTGGTTGGTCACTTTGATTGCAAGTCAGTGCCTTCCGATTCCAGTAACCCTTGCTTTCCGCCTTAACTTCCTGCTTATTCTTTTTGTTTTGTTGGAAAACAGTGGGTCGATGGTCCGTCCCACGGGATCTGTTGTTTCGTAAGTGGTAGAACTTGGGCGAGATGGCTCAGTGGATAGAAAGCGAATTTACTGACCGGAAGGTTCGTAGTTCAAACCCGATATCTGCCTCTCGAATTCCCCTGTCTAGTCTTAGGCAACCTGGCAGTATCCCAACCCTCGTGCTTCCCTCGGGTGGCATGTCAGTTAGGCACCGAAAGGCGGTAGAACTGATATCTGACTGACCGTGAACCTTAGTACTATACATAATCAGATAAGACACTTCACGGTCTCCTTTTGAACCTTTGAAAAAAAGCAAGTGCTGAAGGGCATCTTTCATGCGCACTCTTTGTAGTTCATCACTCTGTCAGCTGCAAAACATCGTCCTAGGAGCATTCCACCCTCTGTTATCGCCCAAGTGCTTTAGGCAGTTGAGAACATCGATGACCGATCTATGCGGTGGTGGGTAACGGTGAAATCGACAGGTAAACCTTAGTTGCCCCAAATCGATGAGGTGTATCGTTCGGGAATCCATCATTTTCAACAGCTTACCATCAAGATTTCCATACATGGATGATGCATACCTATGCAGGTGATCAACAGGTCGCCTTGAATATCTCCATTATGTCATCTTTTCATCAAATCCTAATGAGCCCCTCGTCCGGATGACCACCCACGCGCATTGTGCAAAGATGGGATTGAAGTGTTCACTCAACGTCTGTCTTATCAGTTCTTCTGAATTATGGTGAAGGAGACTGTGAGAGTGCTCATTTTTAAAAAGGGACTCGTATTGAGTGCGGTAACCACAGAGGGATCAACCTGACCCTGATTTTAACGAGATTCTTGGAGTTACTTGTGCTTCGTTGCCTTATGGCGGCTCGAATCGGGAGCGGCAAGCGGCGTTCCAGCCCGGTAGGGGTTGCGTTGATTAAATCTTCACACCCCAACACGTTCTGAAACAAGGCGATAAGTACGAACGATCCACAGTTTTAGTATTCCTGGATTTGTAAAGCCCGTTTGACTAGGTTGACCGGTCTGTTCTCCTTGACATCGGAAGTTGGTGAACATAACACATTCTTTGCATTCTAAGGCTTCTGAACGTGTGAGAGGATACGGAGAGCTCTCCAAAAGTTTCCGTACACAAATCGGTGTTCTTCAGGGGTGCACACTTCTTCCATTCCTATTTAACGGTGAGACGAACGTCGGAAAGTCTTCAGAACCCTGGTTTTCATGTGGCAGTGGACGAAAACCTTGTCAATCTGGAATATGTAGACGATATCGTCCTCCTGTTGAAGAGGAGGAGGCGCAGGTGTTCTAAGGTGAACTGACCAAAGTCATCCAGTGCCTTAGCATGCACTTTTCACCCACAAAGTGTAAGGTCATTCTTCTAGACACGCAGTCACCGGATACGCCATTGGCCATCCAAGGAGAGACACTCGAAGTTGTGCAGCGTTGTACGTATGTTGAAAGTTGTATTAATTCTAAAACTGGTTTGAGGGATGAGTGCAGTTCCGTTTACTAGCTTGAGACACCTATGGTGTCAAAGTGGTGTATCTCTGAATCTCAAGGGACGTTTGTATCTGGCTACTGTACAGGCTGTTTTGCTGTATAGCTGTGAGACTTGGCCTGTTCGAGCAGCTTAAGTGAAACGTCTTCGACAATCATTGTCTCGGGACTATAGATCACGTGGGTTGGTGTCGGCAAATTCATAAACGAGGATGCTAGGGAGCGAGTTTGCGATAGTCGATCGAAAAATGTGTCCAGCACGAGAAGGTGTACTGTGCGTACAGAATCATAGTTTGCCGACAAAAGTGCTGTTTTCTGTGCTCACTTCAGAGTGGCGGAATCAGACAGGTGGCCGGTCCTTGACTTGGCGGAGGGATGTGTACAAGATTACGAAACGTTTGGGTGCTATCGGTGGAAATCTGTCTGTTTGTAATGTGCTACTCATAAGGTTGCTGAAAATCCGTCGATCTCATGAGTAGTATATTACAAATATATACATGTATCGCGATTTCTCGAATATCGTAGCGACTGAAACATGAGGCGCCTTGGTGCAGCACATTCAGTTGTCTGGAAACATCGCAAACGAGAGGTTCGGCTAAGTTCCACGTGAGTCTCTCGCAAAACCAAATTAGTTTGCAAATGAGTGTATAGTCGGAAATCTGTCTAGTTATAAACACCGTAGGTTATGTCCCCTAATTGCCGTCGCACGGTGGTGAACCACCAGTGTTTAACACTGACGTCACGCTCTCGAGGATGATGATGATCGCGTTCACCCAAACGAAACCATTCTATTTGACTGCACTGTGGACGGCCGATGCTATCAACCGTCTTCATGAGTTCTACATGCTCACAGGCATGTAAGCGTTTGTACAAAGCAACATTAAGTGGAGTAAATGGTCTTCCCAGGTTCGAATCAAGTGCACAGGCAACTGGTAACTTTACCACACGTACACGTGCATCACAACGTATTTGCACCTCACATGGATGTAACACACTACTCACAAATTTTCCACCAGTTCTGCCCTTCTTGGAGCTCATACTAAACAAGAGATTCATCTGTGGGTCCAAGTGAGCCATGTCAGTTCGAACGCCTTTTTTCTTGACAGTTATGTCAAAGGTTCGATAACTTGCTTCTGTGGATCGCTCGTAGTCGCCTACATCGTTTCTCCCCCATTATGGCTAATGAACAGCGAAGTACATGCGCGCGCACACACACACACACGTACGTACGTCCATAACTTTTTTGTATGCACAAAACACCAAAAAACTGGCCGTGATTACGCCTTGTTGGTAGTATTTGTCAAAAAGGGAGTTATATACACTACACACGGCCTGTGCATTAAACAATAGAATCAGTCGTGTATCGCGGCTATTGTCATGGAAATACTGGTGAATCAATGGGGCGATTTTAGAATTGTCCGCAACAACAGAAATAATGGTGGTAGTCGATGCATGAATTTACCTCGTGATTTTTTGAACCGAGTGGACCAGCGGCAGAATGGATGAGGTTGAAACGGCGAGTTTCACGCGCTTCGGGAGGAGTGAGCGACTTTTTTTCTACTCCAATTCGGTTGCCAGAATAAATGTGGTCGGGGTTTCGGTTTTATCCTTAGGAATACTTAATCGTATATGCTCAAGAAAGAATCATTTACAATAATACCTGGAAAGGTCAGTTCTTCTACAGGCAATAGCTGAGCATTACATATTGTGAATCGTTGGAGAGCAGCCGATCGAAAAAGAGCGCTAATTTCTTAGACCAGTTTTTCTGATCAAACACCAGTCACTGAATACATGTGTGTTGCCTTTACGAAATGTTTTCGGCCAAGCATGTGAACTGTGGTTACCAAGGTCCTTTGATTTATAAACTAACGTTCTTCGTTTTCACGCATAAAAAACACTTGATATTTCGTGTTAAAAATGGATGAATGCGGTGTTTTCTGGCGTTCGGTAATTTTGGTCTGCACAACGGGGTTTCATTGTTCATCAAGGGCTTGCGCGATTAACCGCTTCTCTCGCCCATTCAAAACCAACCTGTAAAGAACAAGTTTCGGACTGCCCTTTTACGTCTTGTAAGTAGAATACATCACAGCTAAACCAGATCGTTCATCGCCGTAAAAATATAAAAAAACACCAAAGTGACAGAAGATCTGGTCGGGCAGTGAGAGTCCTGAGTACAGCCAATCAGCGCGTGACCACAACCACCTACGCATACCGTGCGAGTAACAGCAGTGCGTGAACAGCGGATTGGGTGAACAAATACGCAACACCTTCCTGTTCATTTCATCTAAAAAAACCGGCAAATCGATTGTTCTACATTCTGGTACTCCGTGAAAACACACGGTCGTACACCAGAAGCAGTCGTCGAAGAGAAACGGTCGTGAAACTAGATTCGCTGGCCACCAGAGAACTGATGAAGAAGGTTGTTCTACGTGGTAGGGAATTCTTCAAGGACACGTTGTTTCTATCAGTTTGCATGCTGGAAAACTGTTCCAATCCCGTTGGCTACCTCATAGTCTTTCTTTTCTTCATTTTTTCTTGGTTCCTTTGGACCCTTGGCGATTATGTTTGCATTCACCGAATGACACTGCTTGTCCAGCAGAATACATCTATGCCACACTCCTGAAGAACACTCTGCAGTAGCATCAAGGCTTCAGTGCTCTCAGCAATCATCCCTTGTAGAAAACCCGAGTTTTATCTATACTACTCAGCCAGCTACACGTTTTGTTTGCCCAGGTATTTCTCAGTCTCGTCAACACAGGTCACGTCTGAAGGCAATTTTTGAGCAAGTCTCCGCCTTAAGTGGTTTCTTATCTGAATGGGAATCAACGGAGGTTTTCTGGAAGTCCTATAAAAGTCCTATAAAAGTCCTATAAAATCGGCACGTCCCAAACCTCTCCATTTTTGTCAAATTATTTTGGGGAACATGCAGGAGAATATTTGTTTCCTCAGTCAACTTCCAAGGATACAATTAAAAGGGGAGGGGAACTGTGCAAGAGTAAATACCACAAGGCACGGCAAGGAGATGAGTAGTTTTTACTTAGTCTGTTAGTTTTGGCCACACAAAAGATATCGAAGCTATATTTCTTGGTCCAGGTGTGGGGGTTGGTTACTATCAGTCAATGGGGCTAATCTTGCTTGGCTCACATGTCTGGTAAAAACCAGACATGCTCACCGATTTACTTTGAAAGTTTAAAAATTCATGTTTCTTTTATCGGTGAACTCTCTTTTTCGTGAATTCACCTGTCTACTTTCATAAAAATGCCCACAAAATGCACGGAAAACCTGAGGGTCCTGGTTATCATCCTATGAATGATGTTGGAGAAAACTCTCGTGCAAACGGTTCTTCATAAAGGAAACTACTCACAAGGTTGCTGGAAATCCGTCGATAGCACACGACCGCTTTTGCCCTTCTTGGGGCATGGCAAAACTACAAAGCCTTGATGTGAGAAAAACTGTGTGTGTGTTTTGATTGGCGTCAATTCGTCCACGCTAGCACAAACAAACAACCGAAGAAAGTTCCCGAATTAGAGAAAAAACTGCACTTGTAACTTCAGTCGGTCTTGAGGGTGAAGGGAAAACCAGCAGAGATTAGACTGCACTTCTTGGATGGCACCTGTTTGGATGGCAGATGAAGTCTCACCTCCACACAAGTTCTGTTTAGACTTTATTTGCGAAAAGAGACTGATCGAAGTTCGAAAAATGAGCCTATGTGATGGCTCAAAGAGGATTAGAACCGGTAGCTGTTTGTACGGGGTTTTCAGCAAACGTATGGACAATATAATTCCCTAGAGCATACTCTAATTCGCTAAGTCATAAAACACTTTGGTTGCATTTAAACAGGCGGTTTTGTAATCCAAAATCTAAGACGTTTCCAACCTGCCGATGCTTATTCCTGCATCATTTAAACAATTCAGCCGAGATACAAAACGAGTGTGCTTGCTGAATTCATGAACGACCCTAGTAGAGCAGACGGAAAGCGGATGAGACCTCTCAGGATCGCTTTTTCAGTAACTATAAGTTAGATCGAAGGAATTTCTCAGAATCCACAATTGCGAAAACGGCTGCAGAGATGCTAAAAGTTGAAGAGTTTTGTCTTGTATCCAAGGGTTTACCTCTCCCGCCGCATAGGTGACCTTGCGGAGACCCCTAAAATGCACTGTCTGTAAGAAGAGAACATTCTTTCCGACCTCTGAGTAAGGGCAAAATGTAACTCAGCATTATACAAACTCACTTTACGGTATTAAGCCTTGTTGCGAGCAACCTGAATTCACCTGTTCGCCAAGCCCTATTAATTCTTGGATAAATGTGACGTTTATGAGTACGAAACAAATGATTTAGAATAACCGGCCTTTTGAAAGGTTTGTAGATGATCACATGATTTGTAAAATCAATACTCACGCCACTCTCACTTGAACAACTGTCCTGGTTAGTTCAACCAAAGCAAGCTTGTCATAGGCGCGTATCATCCGCCGTGCCAGAATTCGAACCCAGGACATTTGATATGCGTAAGTAGCATAATATTCCCTTAGCACATGCTAGACACACTTTACTTGACTCTTCTTAAAAAGTGAAATCGCTTACACTTGGACAATGTGGCTGGTTGATCAGATGTCTTGAAAAGCTACCCGGTAAATATCAGTCGAGTCGCATGTCGTGACCTCCCGTCCAGGCGGTACTACAGATACTTGAAACCTCGTGCACATTCCTCCACCATGTTGTAAGCAGTTGTCAAACGTGTCGAACGACTATTCACGACACACTCCTGACCCGACACACCATTAGCTTGAATAATTCACGGCAAAGCTAGCAAACACCGGAGTAACACACTCGCATCGCGTGTCAGATGTCAAGAGTTCAAATCCAGGCACTGCCACTGGTGTGCTGAACTGAAGAGCCGTAACAAGAGCGAAACTGTAGTTCAGTAAATTTTGTCACGGAGCAGTCGGAGCTGTCCGAATCACCTATCTAAATTCAGCATCTGGGTAGCGAAAGTAAGGATTTGTCTACGGAAGTCTTCAGCTGTATGACGTCGTTTGCAGTCGCATGTGAGTAGGAGCAGTGCAACGAAGGATTGGTAGATAAATGGCTTTCTTTTAAGCGGCACCGAGCTGCATCCAGAAACGCCACATGTGCGACTATTACCGGATGACTTACCGGAAGCATTCCGGCCGAAACGTTCATTCTGCTGTAGCAATGGAAAACTGGGGCTGGTCAAGGCCCTCCACGCATCTTGGAAGTTGTATTCGTTCTGATTGTAGCGTGGTAACAGATGAGGTCAATGCACGAATCTACAAGGCTTGAGTCGCGTTCACTAATTTGAGGCACCTATGTCGTCAAAGTGGTATATCCCTGAATCTCAAGAGACGTGTGTACTGG